GGAGGAGGAGGAAGAGGACTCCCTCCCCCTCCAACTTGTGGTGGTGGTGGAGAACAGGCCCAACGTCAGGAAGCAACTCATGGAAGGTCTTTGCAAGAGCGGCTAAGGGCTAAGAGTTAAATCGGGCGTGTCCCTCTACAGGAGGAGTAGAGCGTACTTTTTTATTGTTTGGGGCATAGTGTGCATTATAGCCCCCGGCCCTCCCTCCCCCTCACCCCCCATAACGTAACGCCCCTCCCCTCTCACACCCCCCCCCCCAGTCGCTCCGGGGCTGCCGTCAGCACAAGGGTCTGGGGGGGAGCGTTTCACAGTTGTACACCCCGCCCCTGGCCCGTCCCCCCCCCCCCCCCCCCCCTATAATGCCCATTATCGCCGAAAATAGAGAGACGCGCTCGAAGCAAATCCTGGAAGGTCTTCGCAAGAACGACTAAGGGCTAAGGGTTAGCTCGGGCGTGTCCCTCTACAGGACGAGTTTTCAAAAAGAGTCCAAAAATGGTCAGGCGACGATTTCCTGATTTGTTTCAACAGTTTTAAGCATTGTGGAGTATTTCTGTGATTTTCGTCCAAAATCCGCCTGTAGGAGGACATGCCCGACCTAAGGCTAAGGGCCATAACTCGAAGAAGGAAAGCGCCATAAATATAAACTTTTGGCGCTCCGCGCGGATTTCTTGGATCCGCGCTGGGCCTTCCCGGTGGTGTCTCCGGCGCCGCCGCTGGCGCGCTCCGCGCCAGGGAGAGGGGTCCAGCGCAGATCCAAGAAATTCGACCAGAGCGCCAAAAGTACATGTTTGTGGCTTTCGGCTTCCGATCTCACCAGGTCGAGCAGGATCGAGCCCGGGACGACGCCGAACCAAGCGGGATCGCGCGGAATTGGGCGGGACTCTGCGCGATTGGGGCGGTTCTCGACCACGGATATACAGCAGCGCCGATGCTAACTGCCACCGCCCCCCCCATATGGAGGGGTGCGGTCCGCCCCGGGAGTGGCATCCCGGCGGGCGGGCGCCCCCCCCATATGGAGGGGCGCGTTCTGCCCGGGGAGTGGCATCCTGGCGGGCGGGCGCGAGCCGCAGGGCAAGGGGAGAGCCCGCACGCTCGCGGGGCCACGCGGGAGGAGAGCGGGAGGGGACGGCAGGAGAGAAACGGACGAACATCTTCACCACCCACCAAACCACCCCAACCCCACCCGAAGGTCCCAATTTATCCCCGATTTCCAGTGGGGGGGGGGTCGTGGAACATCGAGAAAACACAGATGGAACCCGTACCCCCCCCCAACCCGAAATTCGGGTCTTCGGGTTGGGTTGGGGTGGTCTGGTAGGTAGTCACATCCAGCGAAGCCCCCCAGACCTCAGACCACATCCTTGTTGTGGAGGTCGGGGGGACGCGAAAGCCCCCAGACCTCAGACGCCGTCTCTGTTGTTCGGCCGCGGCGCTTCTCCTCCACTGCCGCCGCCAGGGCGCCGCTGTCGGCCCCAGGTCCAACAAATGGGCCCGCCACTCCAGCCGGGGGCGGCAAAGAGGGGGGTGATGACTAGGGGGGGGATATCATGGCGCGGGCCATGGTATCTCCCCAGATTTCACGGCGCCTCTTCTTATTTCATTACGTCCCTGGCCCCCCCGCTGGGCCGCGCACATGCCGCCGGTCATGATTTGCAAACCCCCCCTCTTGGACTCCCCCCTCTTGGTCGCTCCCGAAAATCCCCCAGACCTCAGACTCCGTCTCTGCTGTTCGGCCGCGGCGCTCCTCCTCCACTGCCGCCTCCAGGGCGCCGCTGTCGGCCCCCCCGGTGCAAGAAATGGGCCCCCCCTCCCCAGAAAAGGGCCCGGGAGCCTTGGGGGCCCTGATCGAAAACATTTCAGGAGGGGAAATTACTCACTGCGTGGAGCTCCCCATATGTGCATCTCATGTTTTATGTCATGCCGTGGTGAGCGTCTGTTCATGAGCGGTCGACTACAATAGCGCGTCCACGTGGGCGACAGGGCCGACGAAGACGAGTGACCCCTAATGCGAGTGATTGCGTATGAGTCAGAGTGAGCTTTGAGTATGGTTGAATGCGAGCCTCTTCCTCTTCATCCCCCCTCCTCAGCTGCCAGGCCTTCCCCTTTTCAGCCCGTGGTAGCTTTGGAGCTTCCCACATGTGCATATGTTGTAGGATAGTTGGCAGTGGGATATGTAAGACGAGCGTTTAGCCACACAAGGCCATAAGTGCATGTCATGTTGGAGGATAGTGCCACGGTGAGCATTTCCGGATGGTCCACGGACGAGCGGAAACAGCGCGCGCCAGCGCGGCTGCACATCCCCGCGTGCGTGCATTCATGTTGTGCTATGCCCGGCATCTTTGAGTCAATCAGCAATTCTGAGCGCCGCGCCGTGCACCATGGGGGGCGGCCCGACAAGGCACTGCGGGCCTCGGACCTGACCATCCTTTAACCGTCTCACTTCGCGTCGGGTGCTCTCCAAGGGCGCGAACAGTTTTGCAACATCCGCGAGACGCCCTCACACTGCCCGTCGGCGCAGGCATCGACAAGGACTTTTGGTGCTGAACCAGGCCGAGAGTGAACATGTCAATCCTGCGCCGTAAGCGAAGGATGTTGAGCCCAGAAACAGGCAAACCGCTTGAGACATCCCCACAAAATGGCCGCGAACGAGCCCGTGCAACCACCCCTGGCGGCTCCCCTTAGGGGTGCTGAAACCAGCGCCCCGCCTGAGACATCCTCCAAATCTGATGTGTGTTGAGTAAGTCTGAGTATGAGTAGGTCTGAGTATGAGTATGCCTGAGTATGAGTAAGTCTGTGTATGAGTAAGTCTGTGTATGAGTAAGTCTGGGTATGAGTAGGTCTGTGTATGAGAAAGTCTGTGTATGTGTACGTCTGGGTATGAGTAAGTCTGAGTATGACTAATACTGTGTATGAGTAAGTCTGGGTATGAGTGAGTCTGTGTATGAGTACGTCTGGGTGTGAGTAAGTCTGTGTATGAGTAAGTCTGTGTATGAGTATGTCTGAGTGTGAGTAAGTCTGAGTATGAGTAGGTCTGAGTATGAGTAAGTCTGAGTATGAGTAAGTCTGAGTATGAGTAGGTCTGAGTATGACGAAAGAGGAGGAGGGGAGGAAAGAGGAGGAGGGAGAGGCAGTAGGAGGCGTCCAAGTAATAATTACTCACTGCGTGGAGCTCCCCATAGGTGCATCCTTTTTTAAAGGTACTATTGAATATGGGTCAACAGGAACACACGTAAAACACCAAGGACTCGTGCCCCAGGAGAGGCCCAATATATAGGAACAAAAGTAAAACAAGTAGGATTGCTTACACAGGAGAAGGACAATATATAGAAACATACATAGAACATCAAAGAATCGTGCTCCAGGTGAGGCCCAATCGATAGGAGCATACGTAAAACACATGGGATTGGAACCACTCCTGTTGCCTTCTGAGGCCTCCTGCTCCTGGGGCCTCTCGGGGCCTCCTGTTGCCTTCCGAGGCCTCCTGGCACTTCCTGTTGCCTCCTGGGGCCACCTGTGGTTTCCGGAGGCCTTCTGGAGCTTCCTGGGGCCTCCTGGAGCCTCTTGGGACATCCTGTGGCCTCTTGAATCTTTCTGTGGCCTCCTGATGCCTCCTGGGACCTCATGTGGTCTCCTGGGGCCTCCTGGAGCCTGTTGGAGCCTCCTGTGGCATCCTGAGAAGAATCTGCGCCCACGAGCCTGGCCACCAAAACAGGCAAACCGATCGAGACATCCTCAAAATCTGGCCCACCTGGGGGGTGAAAATGAGCGCCTCGCTCGAGACATCCTCCAAATCTGCTCCGAAAGCGAAGGATGTTGAGCCCAGAAACAAGCAAACCGCCTGAGACATCCCCACAAAATGACCGCGAACGAGCCCGTGCAAACACCCCTGGCGGCTCCCCTTAGGGCCACGAGCCTGGCCACAAAATGGCCGCGAACGAGCCCGTGCAACCACTCCTGGCGGCTCCCCTTAGGGCCACGAGCCTGGCCACCAAAACAAGCAAACCGATCGAGACATCCTCAAAATCTGGCCCACCTGGAGGGTGAAAATGAGCGCCTCGCTCGAGACATCCTCCAAATCTGCTCCGAAATCGAAGGATGTTGAGCCCAGAAACAAGCAAACCGCCTGAGACATCCCCACAAAATGGCCGCGAACGAGCCCGTGCAAACACCCCTGGCGGCTCCCCTTAGGGGTGCTGAAACCAGCGCCCCGCCTGAGACATCCTCACAATCTGATGTGTGTTGAGTAAGTCTGAGTATGAGTAGGTCTGAATATGAGTATGCCTGAGTATGAGTAAGTCTGTGTATGACTAACTCTGTGTATGAGTAAGTCTGGGTATGAGTAGGTCTGTGTATGAGAAAGTTCTGAGTATGAGTAAGTCTGAGTATGAGTAAGTCTGAGCATGAGGAGGGGAGGAGGAAAGAGGAGGAAGGAGGAGGAGTAGGAGGCGTCCAAGTAATAACAAGAACCCCATCTTAGGATATGGGGAACAAGAACCCCATCTTAGGATATGGGGAACAACACACAGACACAATCAATCGTCGACCCCCCAGAAAATATGGGACAACATGGGAAGTGGGCGGGAATATAAAACCCAGAACATATGAGAAAATATGGGGCATCTTTTTTTTATTTGTGTGTATTTATTTGTGTGTCCTTGTGCCCCTTGAACATTGAAAACGTCCGTGTCTGTCTATTCGTAAGTCGGGCAAATCCCTCTACAGGAGGAATGCTCAGCAAACAGTAAAACAGTGGTCTGGAAACGACTTTGGGATTCTTGTTTTTTGTTTGAACATAGTTTGGCTATTTCAATTTGTCTTCCAACTCCGCCTGTAGGAGGACATGCCCGACCTAATTCTACTCTCGTCTCCTGCTCCCTCTTGGTCTCCTCGCTGCCCCGTGTCCTGGCCCCAGCGGCGCGTACAACGGACAGCCCCCTAGAAGTAGTTGGGCTGTTCTGGGGCATCTGTCTTTGGATGCCTTAGCCTGTCGACAACTCCCCGAG